CCTCCTATGACGATGTGTAGAAACGTCTTGCCGACTAAAGATAACTCGATAACGAGCCGTTTTATGTTTAAGGTGTATGACGCACTATTTGCGTTAAGATAACAGAACGTTGCGACGGAGCCATTTCGTTTGAATCCACTGCTCAGTCCTCTGTCGTAGGATTTTAGTTTCGGAAATTGTACGGGCGTATTTAAAATTGTACTGCTCTTTAATGCGTAGAAAGATTCGCATTTCTAAGTTTAATTTGTGAGTTTAAAATGAATTAGCAACATTTTTTACTGGAGAGCCGTGATAGCTCAGTGTCCGGGCGCTCGCCTTTGATTCAATATACTCGAGCAACCCGAGTTCGATCCCCGGTGCCGGCACCAATGAAGTTTTTAACTTTAAGTGCTGATTTATCACGTGCTCCGCGGTGAAGGAAAACATCGTGAGGAAACCTGCATATTTTCGAAATAATAACAAAAAATATTTCGAAGATATGTGAAGTCCGCCAATCCGCAGTGGGGCCGCGTGGTGGACTATGCCCTGATACCCTCTGTATAGAGGAGGCCTTTGCCCAGCAGTGGGACATGTATAGGCTGTTACTTTACTTTCTTTACTTTTTACTGGAAAAGAAAAAGGAACCTTAGTATTCTTTTTTCTGAATCATCATTTCATGTTAAGATTGATGCAAAATATTAATTCCTTTGTCAATTAGTAGTAATACAGTAGTTCTTTCCAAATATTACCAAAATTAGATATTTGTTGTTAAATTTTATGTTATTGCTCATTAATAAATGCCACCACAGCCCGAGCAAGGTGCCCCAACCTGTTACTTAGCCCGACCTTAGTGGGTGAATTGCTTAATTGGGCAAACGATTCAAAAGGGCCCAACTATCTTAATTATTAGCAAGGTGCTTAAGGGTTGAATTTACGATGTGTTAATACGACCCGATACACGTCACCGCCAATTGCTCTAACCCTAAATTAAATTCACCTGAGGGTACGCGATCCCTATTGTCGGCAGCTTAATATACAAAGTTTCATAACATAGTATTGTAAACATAAACTTTAATATTTGCTTGGCCACCATTGGATCTATTGAGACGTTACTTATGGTCGTTTTAATTTACTCTTGTATACCTTGACATAAAACGGAAGAAGCCGAGAATGGGATTTACTCCAAACCATTCAAACAATATTTTATAGTAAGCAAATTACTCTGTTACAATTACTCGATTACCTCCTTATTTTATGGTTAATTCTTGAATATTATATCAATGACTTGAAATACTTACCATTAATATCTCAATTTAGACATTCCATTTCTATACCCGTGCTGACAAAAGCTTACTTACTGCAAACCATCTCATATAGCTATGTGCCAACTCATACAAACACTACATATATAATTATATATGATACGCTAAAAAACACAGAAAAATTTTAAAATTTTATGACCTAAGTATAACCAGTACTTTGCCATGTATTTTTTTATAGCTATAATTAAAACAACTATTTGGGTGTGCAAGCAATTTAGTATGATTCATAGCGATAAGATGAATGGTACAGAAAACCTTTTAGATAAATAAAGTTTCAACAACTTTGATTTAATTATCGACAGATTTTTCACAACTGTATGTTAACTCTCTTAACAACACGACCACAACACAACCTATATTTCGGCCAGCATTATAATAGCGACCCTTTTCTAAGCAGTCTCCGAGCTTGCTTTAATTATTCTATTTAACCCTTCAAATATTTATTTGTAAGTAACATGAAATTGGGTATATTTTTTAAGTGAAAGCCACTTGCAAGGAATTCTTCTTATGTAATTAATATGTTATCATATGGAACATTTCGACATAAACAAAATGTAACTATCCATAATAAAGAAATTTATTAATTTCAAATTCCTTAAGAAATATAATACTAATAGTTAACTTGATTGGCGTAATCGCTTGAGTTTCGCCTCGAGCGGTGGGCTGTTTGCTCAAAAAATCAAGATAAAAAAAACTGTTCTCCTAAAACGAAATTAAAATCCGTACGATTCTTGGACGCTAAGAATTTATTCAAAACATAATAAGCTCACTCTATAGTACGAATACACTTTTAACAGATAAATAAATAAGATAATAACTTCCTTTCTTATTATTTTATTTATTTAGTTTATTTTTTATTTAGAAAAAAAAAAAACTAAATTGTCAAGCGATAAATTAACGTCCGCGTAGATACCAATACAGACGCAGGGTTAAAAAGTATAGTATCTCCGTGAAGCTCAAGACACTGCATCCGAGAAAAAGGCCGGCCATGCCGCCCACTGCCACTGAAACATATCGAAAATATTAAAAATTTCGCACGGCAAGCAACCCCTTATACCTGACGAAGTAGACAGCGTTGCACAATGCAACACAAAAATCCGAAAACTGTAACATTACGTGCGTGTCGAATTTGAAAGGGCGGTGGTTATTGCGCGCAAGAAATCGGCAAAAAGCGCGAGGCCATAATTATCTTGTATACCTTTATATGGTATTTTGAAATGTGAGCTGGATACCCACAATAGCCCCGCAATGAGCAAGTTCAGTATTTTTGGAGGCGTTCTCCTATGAAATGCACCCGAGTCCATAGGTATATCCAGGTAGGTATATGGAGGTAGTGCTAAGTAGGCACTACCTGCAAATCTGTGTGTGTCATAGTGTTGAAAAATTTTATCAAATTTTTTTCTTATATATAAAATATAATATTTATAAGCAAATATTTTTCAGATATTTCTAGAACAGAAACACCTCTGTGTCCGGACGCTTGGTTTTATTTCAAATCCCGAGAAACCTGAGTTCAAATCCCATTGCCGGCACCGATGAAGTTGTACTTATTTTTTATTCTTTTTTTCGAAAAAAATATAATAAACAAGAAGAATATTTCGCAAATAAATGAAGTGTGCCAACCGCGATGAGGTCACGTGGTAGGATGTTACTTTACAAATATAAAGGCAGGAGATTACTGTAAAGTCTATCCAGTAATCGGAAATCTCAGTGCGATTGCCGAAAACTTCCAATGCATTCCATTAATATTTTACTGCTATAAAACCAAAACGCGATCAAATGGGAGATGCGTCAATGCTGTAAGCTCCGCTAGTACTCAGTTGTTTATGTAAACTCGAAACCACTACTCGAAACCACTACGAGGCTGCTGCGTGGCCCTACCACCATTCCGGTGGTAGGGCCACGCAGCAGCCTCGGCCGTTGCACGAATGGGCAGGCTCGTCCGGGTAAGTACCACGACCTCACAGAAGACCGGCGTAAAGTGGAAGTATAATACTTTCGCGTTTCGTCTGGTGAGTGAGGTGGCCGGAGCCCAATTTCCAAAAAGGTTGTCAACGCATCTGCAACCCTCGGGTGTAGCAGATGTCCATGGGCGGCGGTATTCACTTAACATCAGGTGAACCGTCTGTTCGTTTGGCAACTATTCTCATAAAAAAAAAAAAAAAAAAAAAAAAAAAAACTAAAAATGATATCGATTGAATGACATGAATTCAAACGTTTCAATAAATGATTATTTCTCTTACCTAGTACATCGGTGAATCCGAAAATAATATCGCGCCGGTACCTCATACGAGGGTAGGTGACGATGCCCCACTGAAAGTTCGTGCCTAAATACCACTCCTGCACCGTCTGTAGTTGTTCCCATGTGTAAATTTACCAAATTTTAATAAAAACTAAATGAAATTTTTACAATCATCACTGTGCAAGGACCACGCAGAGGCTTTTGCTTCTGCAGGAATATCTGAGGTCATCAGGCCCGGTACTTCCCCGGACGTGGCCTGCCCAGATGGAAGAAATGATTCTTTGTCAAGTTAAGAAACTAATATATCAAATTAAGTCCTATTTATTGGTACTGAAGGCGTAAATTCGCAAATGAAATAATCTTATCCAAGTGAAGTAACGATTAATGCCCTGTTCCTATAATCAACGAACCGCCGTTAGTTACATAGCTTATAACTTTCATAACGACTTGTCGATTAAAGGAACCCTAGTAACTCACTTTCCGTAGATAATGCAACGGCTCGTAAGGAAAACGCTTCGCTTTGTTAATACAGGAACCAAGAGGTACACGCCTTTTATCTACAAGTCGTTATGAAAGTAACGAAGCTATGTAACTAACGGTCGTTCGTTGAAAATAGGAACCGGGCATAAATTGACAAGTCTACCGTCTATCTCTGCAGCTGCCTCATCTGTGTCGTTACAATCGCCATCATATCACATTATGGTACGAATAGATTTTTTTTAATAAATTGCATGGGAAGAGATTTTTTTTGAATAAATTGCATGGTATTTAAAAGCAAGGGTTCATAAAGAAAAGAATGTTAGAAAAAGCTCTCACATACATTTGATTGTATCACATAGTTGATGTCGTCGCAAATAGGGTAGCAGTCGCAATTAATTTTCTTTCCAGACTTATCTCGCAGTTTGTAAAGCACATCTTTAAAACACAACATCTTTAAAATTAAAATAAAACGAATAAATATTAATTTTTAATCTCATAATCTAGTTTTTTCTTTATTCTTTTGATCATTGCCATGACTGTAGGATCATACACAGATGTAAGGACGTTTTGCATACACTATGTTCACGTAGATAAAAACCCAAATCCGAAACATTTTCTTTGGGTCTCACAAATAGCTGTCATGTGTGGTAATCGTACCCACGACCCTTGGCATTGTAAGTGTTGATATTTATGATCTCTCCCAATAAATACAAATCCTAAATAAATTTGTGTAAGCACAACGAAAGATTTTTATTACAATTTTTATTAAATGTTCTAGGATTAACAACTTGTAAATTAATGATTCTATAAATATTAAATATAACATAAATCTTACCTTTGAATCTCGCTAGACAATGTAAACCTTTCACATCACAAATTCTCTCTCCGCCTGCATAAAATAAATAGCAAAACATAATCCTTGAACGTTACAGACAAACACGACAGCGATAAAAGTTATTTGGAAAATTCTGTTATCACTCACGGATCCTTCTGTAAAAGTGTGGTACACAACCGCAATATTTGAGGCAAAGCTTTAAACGGCACTCCATCCTGCACATGATGTAAGTGTAAACGGCGTTGTGTTTTAGAACATTCTCGTGAGGGAAACGGCATCTTCGCTGTGCGACCCTTAGTCTGAAAAGGCAAGTAAATTTATCTTTACAAACTATATGGATGTTACAAATACATTTATATATACATATATGTTACAAATATATGAAACAAAATTGATCCGCCCAAAAGAATTTTCAACAGAATTTTTTTCACAGATAATGTAAACTATGCACGTAAAATATGAAATCTAACTTATGCCACGCCTAAAAAGTCAATGACATGGACCTGTAGAGGATCCGTAACAACGTAAAAAACACAACTGTGTGTCTACTTTTGATCCTGTTAATCTTTATTTCAAAACAGATATGCTGAACAATTTCAATGAACTTGAACTAATCACTGAACATAAATGAACCACTCTACTTGAGCGTTCCAACGGCAACATATTAAAAGAAACGATACTTATTTAATAGATTATGTGACATCCACAAACAATTAAGTGTAAATAATTTCAATAATTTTGTAAAAGCTACATTCATGGAAAGTGCCTATTATAAGGTAGAGGAATTCATTCAAGACAAGGATGTTTGGAAATAACTCGTGCTCTGCACTTGCAAGTCCCCTGGCTCCTGCTAATTTTATACTTGAATACTTTTGTTTATATAATTAAATAATTCAAATGAAAAAAACTTATAAGACCGCAGAGTTTCTTGTCGGTTCTTCTCTGGAAGGTCTAGTTTAGTGAACCGGTGGTAGTTTTTGACGTTCAATAAAATCTTAAAATAAACCTATGTTGAATAAAGAAATTTTGACTTTGACTTTGATTAGATGAAGATATAAGTAGGTACTTAGCCGCTTCAGGTGATGTGTACACCGTTACGGCCGTTACGTAGATTTTCATGTAAAAATTCTTCAAGGCGTGTTGGTGCTTCGTCGATATGTCGGGAACTTCGTACGGCCCGTGAATGTAGACCTAAAACGTAAAATTCTACAGCATATACGGTGGTAGGGCCACGCAGCAGCCTCGGCTGTTGCACGAATGGGCAGGCCCGTCCGGGTAAGCACCACGACCTCACAGAAGACCAGCGTAAAGTGGAAGTATGACAAATACTTTCGCGTTTCGTCTGGCGAGTGAGGTAGCCGGAGCCCAATTTTCACAAGGTTGTCAACGCATCTGTGACCCTCGGGTGTAGCAGATGTGCATGGGCGGCGGTATTCACTTACCGTCGGGTGAACCGTCTGTTCGTTTGGCAGCTTTTCACATAAAAAAAGCTCATTAAAACCACACTCCAAAATGAAAATAAATCAGTGATTCGAAAATAAAGTGCCGGCCAAGTGCGTGTCAGACTCGCGGTTCCGTACCATTATCAATAAAAACGGCAAAAAAATCATTCTGTTTTTATCGAAGCCACACTTGAATATTTTTTTATTTAGTTAGTTATTATATAGTTTAGTTGTTATTCAGTTATTATAGAGGCAACAGAAATACATCATCTGTGAAAATTTCAACTAACTATCACGGTACATGAGATACAGCCTGGTGATGGACGGACAGACAGACATTGGAGTCTTAGTAATAGGGTCCCGTTTTAGCCTTTGAATACGGAACCCTAAAAACAAACAACATTGAAACGTAAAAAGCAAAGCAGCATATTATAAAACGAAATATTTGCTATAATAGTAAAATGGGTTATAGCATCGCTATGAGAAACAGTAATAGTTGAAAACCTTTTTATTTTTTTATTTATAATTTATGTACACAGAATCTACTTTTCACCATGACAAGGGTTAACTGGTAGAGAATGCCTTTAGGCATTAAGTCCGCCCATTGTAGCCGTAGCTTAGGATGTAGCAATGATGCTTAAATAAATAAAATAAACAAATAAAAACTATGACAGAATTGTAAGTACATGAAAGAATTTGTCCAAAGGCCCTGCTTATTTCTTAAGTTATTTTTTATTTTATTTTTTTATTTTTAACCGTGTTAGGACAACGCAACAGTTCGCTGTGCACGAATCTTCTCACATAAAAAATATTCTATGAATGCACTTACAACGTAGGAGCTAGATATATTAAGGAGTTGAGCGAAAACCTCTCCATCTAGGGGATGAACGAAGAAGGTTTCGTTTTCTGCTTTCATCAAATCCCATTTATCGTTAGCTCTGTACCTAAAAATAGGAAACCAGTAATCTTTAGCTATTCAGAAAATTAAAAAGTGAATTTAAGTTTCCCCCAAATCTTGAGTGAGAATCTAAAGGAAAATGTAAAGTTTGTATACGAGATATAATCAAAATACGAGATAAAATGGTAATCATACATTAAAGTCTAAATTTTAATAATAAAATAAAATAAATAAACTTTCAATCAACAAATAATTAAATCAATTCAGCGAGTGCTACAGATACTAGGTAGCTTATATTCCTAATTAAACATATAGTTTATAAGATACATATCATAGATGTTATAGAATCAACAGACACTAGAAAAACATTATTTTCTTCAAATAGTATTTTCTATTACTGGGTATCGAATTCACACCCTCTAGTGAGTAAGACGGTTCCACTCTCCCCTACGCCAATCGGGCCGTGGCAATGCGAATGAATTTAGTTAGTTTTATCTTCGATATAAAATTGAAATTATAGAAAACGGATTGGAATGAGAGGAATGGAGATGGGACACAATAGGCGCATTACTTGTGCCTTAAAAAAATTAAAAATTTAAAATTTTGAAAAAACCTACGACGGTTAAATGTTATTGAAATAGGATAAAATAATTTAAAAACCCCCGACTTAAAAAATAAATGCAACGCGATAATAAACGAAAAAATATTTAATAAGAAGACTTGATGTCTCGCGGATTCGATCATATGCAAACCTATTTGGATCTCAATGATTATAGATGTGGCAATAGTATATTCAACTATCTATAAACTTAATAAAAACCCAATTACATCCTATAATAGGTATAAATAGTTGTACATTGTCTGATGTACATTGAAATTGTTAATTTTACGTGCTGAATTATCACGTGCTCGGCGGTGAAGGAAATCATCGTGAGGAAGGAAACCTGCATATTTTCGAAATAAAAAAAAAATAAAAAAAAGTTTCGAAATTATGTGAAGTCCGCCAATCCGCGGTGGGGTCGCGTGGTGGACTATGCCCTGATACCCTCTTTAAACAGGAGGCCTTTGCCCAGCAGTGGGACATTTATAGGCTGTCTTTTACATTGTCTGAAGGTAACGTAACAATACACTTACCATGGAGAGTTGTAGATTGCCACCCTCGAGCTTACTGCGTAACACAAGCCCATTTCGGTGATGGTCGGCACGAGGCTCAGGGTGACACCCGTCGTCCCAATATTTATCCCGGGCTTAAAATCTGGCGCGAGGTCCAGTATCAGCCGCATGTAATCATCGGCCGGTATCCTATCATATTCGGGTATCGAATCGAATGTTTGAAAGGATGCGTTCACAAGGGCGGTGACGAATTCCTCCAGCTTCGTTTTATTAGGCTCGTCCGAATTCCTAACAAATTCATAATTGATCTTTTATAACAAGAGGTGACATTATAGTGAACTATCGACCCGCCCCGGCTTCGCACGGGTGCGAATGCTGAATGTTTGTTAACCGCATCGCATTACAAAGGTTTAAAATTATCATTGTTTCTCTACTATATTATGCATGAATTATACATATAACCCCTTCTCTTGAATTACTCTATCTATTAAAGAAAACCGCATCAAAATCCGTTGCGTAGTTTTAAGCATATGTAGGGGCAGACAGACAGCGGGATGACTTTATAGGAGGTTTCTTAATTCGACCGTATATTTTTTATGTCTGTTCGTGGATAACTTGGTCGTTTATGAACCGATTTTAATGATAATTTTTTTTTGGAAAGGAAATATCCCAAGGGTGATACGATAAGGAAACCTGGATCTGATGAAGGCATCACAGAGAAATCGAGGGCATTCCTCAAATGTTATAGGTGTTGACAATGTTTTTAATATCCCGTTTGAAGTCGATTTCTTTTTGTTAAAAATTTTATACTATGGAGTGATGATCTCTTCTTCCCACTGCTCTCCAATATTTTCAGTTCAATGTCATTGAAGAGTAAATTTTTATGTGATGAACCTGAAGCCATCGTTTGAGACATTTTTACATCTTTTTTGAGCATAATACATTTATACTTTACTTTATACTTATACAAATTTTTATGCAACAAATAAACCAGTTGAAGAAAGAATTAGCGGCCATTTCACAACCGTCTATGTCAATGTTTTTTTTGTTATTTACCGCGTTTTCTTTTCTTTTGTAATTTAAGAAAAATTAAATGGTGTTAAACTTAATATCACAATTCAATTAGCGATAAGGTAAATTAGTTATTCAACTCCTCACTTGATATATACAGCTAGCTTTTGCGCATCCACCTTTAAGTCGGGGCACACGGTGATGCATGGGAACGTGGTGTTCCACGCGAACATGTCACGTTCCATGGAAACGACGGTGGGCGAGGACTGGTAACGGATCCAGGTGGTTCGGGAGAGGAAGGTCGCGCCAAAGACGGAAACCAAGACCACTGACAACCACAACAGCCTGTCGAAAAGTACAAAAAACAGTGGCGATATGACGGTTTGAATAAATACATTGAATCTAAATAAGTTATACCTATAAGTTTATGAAGTTTTCAACATAAACTATCCAAAATGATAGTTTTAATCTGACTAGTGGTCGTCCGTTGGTGCAAATTCGACCATAATTAATTATATATCGTAGTGTATGTTATGTTTTTGTTATAGATTGGAAGTATTTTTTATGCATAATTAAAAAAAAAAGATTTAATTATAATTGTAACTCTATATAATATATAAGGTTTATTTCATGTAATGCAATTCGTAAAATGGGGTACAAAGTTTTTGCTTTACGTATTAATATATAGATGAATAAGAGACGTTCGTAAGTAAAAAAACGTCTAATAGCCAAGAATTTTAGTTTACGATTAAATAACTGTCGCAAGCTGTTCGTTTATCGGGAAAACAGAAAATTTACACTGCACAAAATCGCTGAGTGTATATTTTTTAAACATCTGCCATTATCCTGTCTTGTAAGGACAACGGGAGTACAAAAAACAAAGAAAAACATTAATTTCACATGAACATAAAAAGTTATCTCTGGGTCACACAAATTGCTGAAACCGGTACCGTAGCCAATACCTTGTCAACTGAACTACGAAGACATCAAATTTAAAGGAGTAATCTCTACATCAGTTTTATAATTCTCAACGTAAACATATATAATAACATACTGCTTATATACTTATAGTACTGCTAATAAGGCTTCATGATGATGGCAGAGATGAGGCGAAGGATAATGTTGCGAATTTCGTGCTTAAGTCCAAAATTCCCCAATCACTTAAAACAAAAGTGTTTAATAGGCGTTCTTCCGGCTATGCCATATGGATGCGAGACATGGACACTGACTGCTGGGTTGACCCAGAAGCTCAAGGTGACGCAGCGCACCGCGGAGCTCGGCATAACGTTACAGAACCGAGTCCGGAACGAGCTCATCGGATGTCATACGGAAGTCGACGTGGGCCACCGAGTAGCGAAGTTAAAGTGGGCTTGGGCCGGACACGTGCCGAAGAAAAGGCGAACATTGGAGCAAGCGCTTTGGAGTAGAGACCCCGGCAAGGCGGGAGAAGTGTGGGCTGACCACCAGCCCGATGGTCCGATGACATTCAGGAGACAGCAGGCCCAGTCTAGACAAGGGAAACAAAGAGTCGTGCCGAATGGAAGGAAATTGGAGAGGCGTATGCCCAACGGTAGGCGAACTCACGCTGAAGAAGAAGAAGTCGAACATACTACTTTACTACGGACACCGAAATACTGAGATTTATGAATTTTAATTTTTTAATTGTGTTTACTCACTTTTGTGTGTTAACCTAGGAAACTGAGTTATCATTTACCAACTACGGTTATTATTCTTTACCATCACGCCGGATAATAGTAGAGCAGTGGCCAGTCTTCGAGAGAAAACAAAAAGTTATTTAATTTTAAAAGCTATTTTTTTAAAGACTATAACAACTTTAACTGTACTTACACTTCACACGGATGTCTTCTTGAAGCTATGAAATGATTGAGACCATGTATAGATGACGTTTCGAGAAACAAACGCAAATATGATTTAGATTTCAGCATCATTATGCTCAACATTGATTTATTTTGGTTATCAGATCGTAATTCATTTCTAAATTGTATTCTGCTGCTTCGAAAATTATTCTCTATGGTGTTCATTTTATTAGGACGCTTAGGTAACATAACGTCGCAATTAAAAAATTACCACGTATTTTGAAAAAATTTCGAAAACAGTATTTATAAACCGTTGTAACAGTAATTATTTTGACAAAAATATTTTCCGTCGCGTTTATGTAATAAATATTTCCGCCAAGTCCAGTCTAAAAAAATTGGTAGATTATTTAAAAAAAAAACCCGTAAAAAGTTTGCAATATTAAACTTCGGTGCACTGCAACTAAATAAAATTTTGAGACCCGAACTAACAACGATTAGTAGAATAACCAGTTTGTCAAAACCACAGAAAATAACTTACGTGACAAAGGTCTATTACGAAGTTAATACGGCATTATCGCCTAAATCAGCTCATGTCTGTGGAAGTACTAAATGGAACGTAGGTATGAGAAGTGCTTTAAGCAAATCGCAGTAAATTTTGTCCCTAATGGCAACGGAATAATGACTGTAGTTGCGTGCATAAAAAATTCATCCACAGCATTACTCTATTTGCACGGCCGATAATTACAAAATTCATATTAACGAGTTACCACTTCTCTATCTTTACAATGACAATGGGCTTTTTTATCATATTATATCAAACAATGAACGTCATCGCGTGGTAATAATAGGCAATGGAGAAAGTCGATTTGCCGTAGAACTTATTACGAGTTTGGAACGCATATATACGATAGGTGCAACAATTTGTTTATGTATTGGAATGTTTTACATTTTTAATATGTGACGAGGTGGCAAACTGGCAGTTCACCTGATGTTAAATAATAACCGCCGCCAATTGGCATTTGCAACACCCGTAGGGTCTCAGATGCGTTGCAACCTTGTAATAAAGTGGGCCCCGGCTACCTCACTCACCAGACGAGGAGTATAACACTTCCACATCACGCCTGTCTTCTGTGAGGTCGTGGTACTTAACCGGACGGACCTGCCCATTCGTGCAACAGCGAGAACTATTGCGTGGTCCTACCAAAATTACGTGCAAAATTGACTCTCAAAAATATTTGTGCCCCATCTAGGCCTTTAAGTCTTTAATCCGTTAATTTTTAAAAATATTGTTCATATAATATGTCGGTAAATATTGTTCATATAATAGGTCGTCTTTAATTTTTCAAAGGCTACGCCTTCCTGACGACCTGCTTCTGTTTCTCTTATGATTTTGACATCTCTTATGACAGCCTAAATGAGTTTGATTTCGTAATAAAATTATTGGACTCGAAATTGGGCCAATCGTTTGACCTTAATAGTACCATAGAGTAAAATATAATAGAATAAAATATGTTATTTGTTAAAATATGACAAAATAAAGTACCTAAGGTAGTTAAAAGAAAAGGAGCCTTTTGTCGTTTGAATGATTAATGATGTTATAACTTGAACTCCATAATCCAACAGAAGGTGATATGATTAAAAATTCAACGTGTAAGTTTTTAATTAAGGAGTTACAGAAAGAAAAGTAAAATTAATTGCCATTTAATTAAAATACGACAAATCAATACAACGTACACAATCATTGTTTCCCGAAGAAACGCGGAAGTGACACTTAACAAAGGCGAGGACAATTTCCAATTCACAAAATCAAATAACCGAAGAAAAAAAAAGAAAACTCGTTAAAAAAATTACATCGCATTGGAGGTAAACAAGTCGAAACCTTACCTACGCCGAAGAAAGCCGCCGTGGAGAGTCTAATAATTTCCAAAGTGTCATGTCGCCGGGAAATAAATGAAGTGGAGAAAATAAATTTCATTTAAAAATCACCGCGGACCATTATTTTCTCCAGCTTCCCCTAATTAATTTCTTGTCACCGTCTAGATCGGCCGTTGTGGCCCTGACAGCGGCGGCGAGAGAGACGACGCTATGCGCCGCGGGCGCGCGCGAGCAGGACGCCTATATAAAGGTAAGTGTGCTTCATTACCATCTTTCAGTAGTTAGCGGAAGCAAGATACGAAGTTCGCTCCGGTCGAGTTCTGCTCGCCTGGTACTCGTTATTAATGACCGTTACGAATAAATAAGAAATTTTCTCGAAGATTTCTCAACTTCCTTCCCGCTGAGGCTTTTTCGGATAGCGGATTTAAATAATTCACCAAGATCTCGAAATGTTTTTCAATTCTTACTTTGAACTAGTGAAGGAATCGATTTATGTATTGAATATAATTAGAATGACTAAAAATTATAAACCTTTGGCGCTAGTTCTCAGACATACTTGTTATGCATGGAAACTTTATTTTTAAACCCGATATATAATGTCCATCAGTATGAGAGTAACAACAGCTAATAAGTGAGCCAAAGAGTTTCTACGCAAGCACCTTTAAAGGGTATTTTGCGATAGATAGTCTGTTGAAGCCAAACATAATTCACACTAGCACTAAAGGACAAAACAAAAACCGAGTTTGAATTTCAATGACGTACGCCAATAAGTTTACAGTTAAATCTACACTTACTTCGGTAACAATACTTAGAAGACAAGTAACAGGGGAAACATTATATCAGGGCCCAATGAACTCCGGCTTGATAAAACATCGTGTTCATCATTAAAACCGACACAAGGCAAGGGGCACGAGTTATATAATTAACAAGCTTAATTTTCTTGTACGAGTTATATTCGAGATGTGCCCCAAGAATGTTTACAGAAAGTAGCGGGTAAATATTGCCAGCGGGGACTCGGAGGTAGAAATTTCGAGAGTCGCATAGTATGGACTCCGTTTCGTAAACAATAAATCGGGTAAGTGGAATGATACCCATTAAAGTATGCTGCTTACGTATATAATAACTAAATACAGTAACTAATGGTCATATAACAGACCCCTTTTCACAAATAGGATGTAATTTTATGGCTGCAACCTACCAGCGGTTTTCTCAGAATATATCCACTTTGCTTTTTACAGGTTTTTTAATGAATATACGAACCATATGGAATAACATTTCCAAATATCTCTCATAGGCAGTGGTGTAACTATTTTTTTTATTAACCTAATGAATCTTTAATCTTTATACTCTGACAGAAAATTCAGAAGAAAATACCACTCACGTAGTCCGATTCCACAGTCGCTTAGCTTTTACACCGCCACTTAATTTGAATATCCAGCACAACTGAGTGTTTAATAAAACATTCAGTTTGATTTACATCCTTACAAATCCGTACCTTTTGCGCTTTATTTAGTGTAAACACGCCCTTAAAATGTTGCCCGAGTTTCGTGGTG